TTTAAATATCTCCCATAAAATTGCAATATTTCCTGTATGGTCATTGGAAAGTCATCTTTTGGGGGATGGAAGAACTATAACTGACTTTTAGGATCAAAGAAAATGGATTATTTGTGGCCAAGCTTGAACAGTTGAAAAGTAATACTCTGGAATGCAAGGTTACTTGAAAAGTTTGTTTATTTTTGTGATTCGTTTAAAAAGACAGCTTGAGTGCCAGATAGCCCTATTATAATTCAGTTTTGACCCATTTTTATTTAATAATTATATTGCTCAGAATTATGATTTATCAGTTTGCATACAGAAAGATTATACTTATGTAGTGTTCAGGGGCGGACTGACAACTCATGGGGCCCCCGGGCAATAGGGGATCATGGGGCCCCTGTGTCCTTGCCCAAACTCAAAAAAGCTTATGAAAAAGGTACCAGGGGCATCTTATGGGGCCCCCTACTGACCCCGGGCCCTCGGGCTATGCCTGAGTTTCCAAATGGTCATGGTAGTGTTACCACTGAGGGAGCCAATGGTTGAATGGGTCTGTCTGCTACCCCGAATGATGACCCACCCTTACAAAACTCAATCTCATCAACACACTTGGAACTTTGATAGGCTTTAATAAACAGTAAGGCCCTGCAAAGAAAAGAATAACAGTAAACAATAGCAATGAATCTCAATAACAGTATAGCAATATATAAGTTACAGGGATTCTAGTCCCACTGTGTAGCATGCACACTTGTGGTGGTTTGCTTGAGGTGCAGAGTCCAGGAGCACCCAGTCTTTATCAGAGCATCCAATAGGGGGTCATGCATTTTTCTGCGGACTGCTCCCAGGTTGCAGCCCTGAATCAGACCTGTGCAGGCTACAGTTGACCAAATGCAGATATGAACTGGGGTCTAGATCTCAGAAAAGCAAAAGAATGCTGGACACAGGCAGTATCTGGATTACAGGGGTATCTAGAAGCACCGAGGTGTTGAAAGTACATGGAAGCACAAGTGTAGAAGTCTTCTGGAGCACAGGGTTCTGGACTCACAGGAAAGCAGGAGTGCAAAGATCTCTAGGAGGACTGGGATGCTGGAACTCACTTGCACACAAGAGTACTAAGGACAAAATGTTACTGATATACAGAAGCACACAATCTGCCAGCTAGGTGAAGGACAGCAGCACTGCCTAGCCCAGGGGTGTGCAAACTTTTTGACTTGAGGGCCGCAATGGGTTCATATATTGGACCCGGGGGCCGGACCAAGAGTAGATGAATGATGTGTATGTGTCATCCATAGTAAGTATAGTAATATTCCCCCATAGTAAGCATAGTAATTAATCCCCCATATAGTAATTCATCCCCCATAGTAATTCATCCCCCATATAGTAATTCATCCCCCATAGTAATTCATCCCCCATATAGTATTCACCCCCCATATAGTAATTCATCCCCCATATAGTATTTCATCCCCCATAGTAATTCATCCCCCATATAGTAATTCATCCCCCATAGTAATTCATCCCCCATATAGTAATTCATCCCCCATAGTAATTCATCCCCCATAGTAATTCATCCCCCATATAGTAATTCATCCCCCATATAGTAATTCATCCCCCATAGTAATTCATCCCCCATAGTAATTCATCATCCCCCATATAGTAATTCATCCCCCATATAGTAATTCATCCCCCATAGTAATTCTTCCCCCATATAGTAATTCATCCCCCCTATAGTAATTCATCCCCCCTATAGTAATTCATTCCCCATATTAATTCATCCCCCATATTAATTCATCCCTCATATAGTATTTAATCCCCCCCACAGTACTATTCCCCCCCAAGTAGTAAGCCAAGTCCCCCCTGTGTCAATTCACTTACCTTTGCTCCGCGCGTTCCTCTCGCCGTGTTCCCGCGCCGTTCCGGTCTTCAGGGCGGACTGTGAGAGGAGCCTAGCTCCCCTCCCCTCACGTTCGTCACGCTGCCCCGCCTACACACATCCTGACAGCCACATCCGCGGGCCGGATTAAAAGGTCCGCCGGGCCGTATACGGCCCGCGGGCCATAGTTTGCCCATTGCTGGCCTAGCCTCAAGATGGCTGTAGAACTTGCGGGAGGTCACCCACTGATTTGATTTGAGGATTGTAGTGCGGTCTCTAAATTGCATTGAGAGGTCAAATGGCACAGTTTAGCTGAGTATGTTAAAAAAATATAAACATTTTTTTTTAAACCTTTTGGGCAATTCCTTACAATAAGAACGCAGAAAGGCTATTTGCTATTCACAATGGACATTAAAAAGTGACTGAGGTGAAAAATAGTTTCGGTCCCACATATGTATGTGCAAAATGCTGTGTAATATGCTTGATAAGAGGAAACTATTACAAAGTCCTAATTAAAAGTCATTTCCCTGAAAACAAAAGGAAAAAAACACTTTCCCCTGAAGGAAACTTGTGTTTAACATTTCAAATTGCTTAAGTAAGCATGTTCCAATAATCCCTGAGGTCTTTTATCTCCTCACAGCATATCAGTGTGTGGGACACGTTTCCATGTGCAGGCTCCGAGGCAAAAGTTCACAGTTATTTACACCAATGTGTGGAAGCATAACATAACTGTACAGTATGTATTGAAGGACAATTTCAAACATCTCATTGCATAAAACAACTGAAAAGTGAGTACATATGCTGCAGAAACAATTGTATCATTTATTCTGTTACAGGTTAGAGAATAGATGTTAGCTGAGAGCTACAGTACATGACAAAAAATCTATAGCCCAAAAGGTTTTAAAAAAGGTGTTTTTTTTTTTTTTTTTTTAACATACTCAGCTAAACTGTGCCATTTGACCTCACAATGCAATTCTCGAGCTCCTCTGAGCAATATTTATGATCTACTACTATTACTGTTGATATTAGCAATTTACATGGCACTATCCACCATTTTATGATGGCAATTCCTTTAGGACACCATCCTTTGCTAACTAGACTCTTGGTTTTGTGAATGCACCCGTTGTCCACATGTGAGATACAAGACAATTTTATCTACCCTAAGAATGATTTTCTAAGTACCAGTGTTCCAGTAAAAATGGTCTTATAAGTAAGTTAAATCTTTTTAGTTTTGTGATCATGTTGAGAGCTGACTAAATTTGCTGATACTAAATTTCATACTATCTTTTTGCTTTCAGCTTTGGTATGGAATATCACATTCTAGTGTTATTCACCTTTGTGTTGAAGTGACCAAGTTATACAGCTAATATGCCTATGGCCTATGGGCCACCATCAGCTGCCAGCTGCTACATAATTCACCTGCACTATGCTCTATACTTGTGCACTCAAGCCTGTGACTATAATTATTTCTCTAAGTATTATTTTTGTAAATGAATACATGTTTATTTAGTTAGATCATTCTTCCTTAAAAGCATATGGATGGTCATGAATTTGTGAAACACATTGACCTACCAATGTGCTCATTCTGAAGGTATGTACAAACCCTTCCTGTTATTTATTGATGGAAGACGCACTTGTATAACATGTGGGTATCAAACACCCAATTTGTATTGCTTTTTTACTAGTGCAGTAAATAAAGTGTAATAATTTTATAAACATTTAAGTCTTCCATGGGTACCATTAAGTCTGTCTTTTCCCCCCTAGTGGGGTGTTCTTTTGCAATACAGATATTTTGGATGTGGTACCAACCTTAGCAGCAATATATTTTTTATGCTATTGTCTTCCCAGAGCATTGGTCTGTGCGTGGGGAATGATGGAGGATTCCTGTGTGCTGTGGTTTGATGATCACCACACACAAGAGATGTTGTTGTTAGCTTTTAGCAAGTATTTTAAAAGGGGAAAAATAAAAGATGAGGTAGAGGTGGACAAAAATACCACAAAGATATATTAATTAATGTTAATATTTAATAATTACTACATTAATGATATTTTTTAGAGGGTAGAGAGGACACTATCATACCCCTTAACTGTAACAAAGATAATGGTTTCGTCCCCTTGGCTGTGTAAATCTTAGAAGGACGGTAAATGAATAAAATTGCAAATAATTTAACAAATAAAACAGTTGCTTTATTTGTTTTTCATCTGTGTATTTCACGAAGTTAATTTAGGATTCATACTTAAAGAGTGTTATTTTTTTCAGTGCAGGTAATATAGGACATGAAACAAACTAAAGAGGCTTCAGAGGATACAGTGATGTAAACAAAGGACCCAGACTTAATATACTATAACCATACAACATCCATAGCACAGACATCTTGTTACTATTAGAAACTAGCTCTAATTTTTTTTCTCTATAATTTAAGTCAAAGTCTTGAGCACATGATAATTCTTACAATATGTTTTCACCTAACATTGCTCTCTGTTATAAAATGCACTAACATGTGGCTTGCGTCATACAGCTCACTATGTATGAGACCAGACTAGGCTTACACCACTGTATGTAGTTGTATTAATGGTTCATTTTCATAGTCATTTATTTAAAAGATCATATCAAGCATATAGTCAGTCATAAAATACATAAAAATGACATACAGAAGTTAAAATATTTAACACAATCGATAGTTTCCTAATAGTTATAATGAAGCAAATGCATGCTGTAACTCTGCTAAAAAATTTCATTTGATTCAAACAGGAAATTGTGGTGTGGTAGCCTTATGTCCCCATGTTGATATAAACTTTAGAAAGTGTTTCATGCGCCAGCATATATTTGAACGATTTCCTAACTTTTCCTAAGCATCTTATCATAGCAACAATTTTCTGCTCTATGACTCTTTAACTAAAGGTCTATAAAAATAAACATTTTTTTTTTTTAAACAGTAGGGATAACTACAAATGAGGCTCATGTATTTAATACACATGCACAAAAGCATCATAAAAGGTTAAGACTTAGAAATGTTTTATACCTTTCACAAAAGTCTACATGAATACACTATATTGCAAAAAGTATTGGGACACCCCTCCAAATCATTGGATTCAGTTGTTCCTAACACCTCCATGGCCACATGTGCATAAAATCAAGCATGTACATGTGCAGACTGCTTCTACAAACATTTGTGAAGGAATGGGTGTACCGTGATAGGTTGCCACCTGTGCAATAAGTCCATCTATGAAATTTCCTTGCTACTAAATATTCCACAGTCAACTGTTAGTGGTATTATAACAAAGTGGAAGCAATTTGGAACAACAGCAACTCAGCCACAAAGTGGTAGGCCACATAAAATAACAGAGTGTGCTCAGCGCATGCTGAAGCGCATAGTGTGCAGACTGTCTGTAGACCTCCAAACTTCATGTGGCCTTAAGATTAGCACAACAACAGTGCATAAGGAGCTTCATAGAATGGGTTTCCATGGCCGAGCAGCTGCATCCAAGCCTTACATCACCAAGTGCAATGCAAAGTGTCAGATGCAGTGGGGTAAAGCACGCCACCACTGGACTCTAGAGCAGAGGAGACGTGTTCTCTGTCTGGCAATCTGATGGATGTGTCTGGGTTTGGGCGGTTGCTAGGAGAATGGTACTTGCCTGACTGCATTGTGCCAAGTGTAAAGGTTGGTGGAGAGGAGGTTATGGTGTGGGGTTTCTTTTCATGGGTGGGGCTTGGCCCTTTCCAGTGAAAGGAAGTCTTAAGGTGTCAGCATACCAAGACATTTTGGACAATTTCATGCTCCCAACTTTGTGGGAGCAGTTTGGGCATGGCCCCTTCCTTTTCAAACACGACTGCCCAACAGTGCACAAAGCAAGGTCCATAAAGAAATGTATTTAAGTATTATTTTTGTATATTTGTTATTTTTAGCACTATTTTCGTTTGAGGACGTTGAATATACATATTGGTTTTTGTATTATTGTATTGTCAGCCCATAGGTCATTGAAGCATATGCACATTTGTAGGGACCCTTTATGCAGTAGGATGTTTATTTATCCACAATTTTTTTAGTAGAGGCAGCGCAGCAACGTTTATATTTTATTGAGTTAAATTTGTGGGCTTTGGCATAAAAAAACACCAAAAGCTCCTAAACTCATGTTTAGGAGCAGCAGTGTACATGAGGTCTAAGAGAGCCTCAATTGCTGGTCATTCTAAACCACTTGACCTAAGTTCAGAGGGCAGGAAGAGAAATATTAGTAGTTCATTGCTATAGCAGCTAACTGCTCTATTAGTTCCCTGGGTTTGTGAAGCATGAATGGGTTTAGTTCACTGTGAACCCAACCTTGACTTGAACCCCAAGTTTATCTCAAATATAGGGATGTATAAAAGTCAACATTGTGAAAATTTCACATAATCATTTTTGATATGTAAACAATCATTTTTATAGAAAAGGGACCATGAATCCTTACAGAAAATCTAATTTAATGAAACCAAAACAATATTTTCCTTGGTATGCCTAATGATTGTTTTTGAGTACAGGATCACAATCAAACGTTGTATACATGATTGGCCATTTATAATGTTGATGACTTGCTGTTGAAATGCTGAATACCACATCATAGGATGAGGCAGGGGAGCAGGAAGGTAAGTATCACATGGACAGTATCAGGTGAACCTATTATTTTGCCCTCAATGAGCAAAGTGACAGATTTACTTTAGGAATTACTATAATTTAAACTACTTCAATAGATTGGGATATTTTTTTATTCCATTATTCTATTTGCATTCATTTTTTACTAGTACGGAATACAAAATAAGGGTTTGCCTGCAAGAAAACTAACACATAACTTTCTTAGCACTTTTCCTTGTAAGCTGCAAAATACAACATTCTTAAAATGTCTTTTAGACACACGACTAAGATATATTTAAAGAAGTCATGTTGGTGTTTTATCTGTAGTTTCCAGGGAAAAGAGCTGGAGAGATTTGTGTAGTACAGGGAAACTATTTCATACAACCTTGGAAATTACCATTTCAACTCTCTGAGGTGAAAAGACCTGCCACGAGCAGCTAGTGAATCATTCTTTAACTCAAGCTATGTTGAAATTGGCGCAGCTATTGTTTTATGGTCCATGTATCTCCATATTAACCTTCATCATGGGGGTTAAGGCAAAAGTGTTGGATGAAATGCACTCATTCTAAAAAATGCCAAAAAAGAAAAGTTCTGAAATCTTTGAACAAAACCGTACTGTATGATGGTGATTTTTAAACACATGAAAAATGTTGATTGAAAGGTAATAAGTTGGCAGGAAGGCTAGTGGCAACTGAATTCTGCAATAAAAGATTCTTCAATAATAAAAGGTTACACACACAAACAAATGTATTTATTCTAGCGGAGTAGTGGCTTTTCCTATACATATACAAGCAGGTCATTCCTGGTGCCAGACAGGTACTTCTCCATATAAGTGTATATTTTTATTTTAATTATTTTTAATTTTATTTGCATACTTGCTGTGAAGGACCGCCTGTCACCCCAAATGGGTAATTCTGTCAGAGAACTGTTTCGTCACTAACGGGACACAGGACCAAATATTAAAGCTGGGTGTCACACCCAAAATTAGGCAAACTCTTTATTGAACAGAAATAGAGGTTTTTATACAGTTCAGAAATAGGAGCAGTCCCCACATGAACAATAGAAACAAATATTACACATTGGGAATAAACATTCTACACTGATGAGGTAAGAGCTTGATCACATTATTCTAAACAGTGCAAGTGGTAAACAATATTAGAATTAATCCAAGCCTCACTCTGAGCGTTCATCTTGTTGTTGTCCATCATTAGAGAATGATCTGCTCTCTCCATGGGCAATAATAGAAAGTTAGCCCCTAGTCCCCTTCAAAAGCCCCTGCCCCGGTTAGATCTGTCACATTTTCCCCCCTCAAAAGTAGACTAACCAGGTCCCAGACTTCCACCTGGTCTGGACATGCATTAGTTGGGCAGGTGAACCCACATAGTTGGTCCACACAATCGCTTTTGTTGTCCGCAGGGAAGAGTTGTCGTCAGTAGGTTTGGAGCAGAGGTCGTGGACCTTCTGTCTGGCTGTCTGGGAGGACTTTACTATTCCGGGGCTCGGTCTGCTGCTGGGTAGAGGGGCCGACTGCACCAACTGCCTGTAGCCATGAAGACATGGTAAGTTCTAGGCACAGGCCAGCGGTGCTCTGACCTGTTGCCAGTGCTTCAGCTGGGAGGTCTTTACAATTCTGGGGCTCATTCAGATTCTGAGGAGAGGGGCCAACTGCCCCAACTCCCTGGGGCTGTAAAGACAGGGTTGGTGCTAGATAAAGGCCAGGGGCACTCTGCCCTCTTGCCAACGCTTCAGCTTGGGACCCCGCATCCTCCATTTTGGCTAATGTTGGGGAAGAAGGATGACTACCTCCTCTCCTGGACTGTGGATTTGCCACTAGGGAGGGAGGAAGAGCACCTCCTCTTTCGGCCTGTGGAACTGCAGCTGGGGAGATGAGCCAGTTGCTCCATCTCCCATACCCTCCTTCGGGTTCTGGGATGACATTTCTCTATTATTGTCTCCCTGGTGCACGAATCCTTGAGGGGGATGGAAACAGTTTCCTCCTCTCTGGTTGACTGTTAGGGAGGGAGGACGACCACCTCCTTTCCTGGACTATGGATCTGCCAGTAGGGAGATGAAATGCTGACTACTTCTTCCTGAGATTCCTGTGTCACTGTAGGTGTTGGACAGAAGTAGTAGACCCTCTGTCCTGTTGCCAGCTCTTCTGCTGGGACTGTGTATGGGCAGAGACTGGCAGCCCCTCTGTCAGAGCTTCAGCTGGGGTTAGGAGTTCCACTGTATCAGCCTGCTGCTGGGGAGAAGGACTACCCGACCTGGCTCCCTGGAGCTCCAGAAGCTCAGTAAATGTTACATCCTCTGATGAAAAGTAAATTAAATCCATGCTTTCTGGGATCTGTGGCTGGGGAGTGAGGGCAGATTCCTTCTCTACTGGGTCCTTGAACTGCCACTGGCGAGAAAAGCCAGCTCCTCCATCTCCTGTACCCGTCCATGACAGCTTTCTGTACAACAGTCGCAAACCACTGTACCCAAAGCCTTCCGTTGGGCTGTCATCCGCTATCCAAGAGCACACTTGAGCTACTTACTAGCGGAGGGCTCTGTAGCTCTCATCCAACAGCATTTCTGCCTGGACCAGCCTGGTTAACTCAGCTGTCCACTCCTTGTGCAGTTTATCCACCAATAACAGCACCTGCACTTCATACTGCAACTAGTAAATTTGCTGGGTAGAGGAGAGAATTTTTTTTTTCTTGGTGACACTGCTCGTGGTCTAAGTCATCTTTTCAGAGTTGCCAGTGGACAGAATCATACCATTCCAGCAAAACCTGCACTGGCCTCCCGTGCTGCATCTGCATTTTTCACAGCCTCCTTATGAATTCATCTTTCATGGCAGCTGGTATCTGTTCCTCTCCTTTTCTGCTAAACGGACCTGAGTGGTTTGGATGTCCCAGACTGCAGGAAGCATCCCACTACTGCCAACCACATGTGACGGAATACTACCTGTCACCCCGATTGGGGGATTCAGTCAGAGAACTGCTTTCTCACCGCTGGGACATAGAACTAAGGTATTATAGCTGGGAATCGCACTCAAGGACTAGCGACACTAGCTTAGGTGCAACTGAAACACTTTATTGAACAGAAATACAGGTGTTTAAACACTTCAGAAATAGGGGCAGTCCCCACATGAACAATAAAAACAAATAGTACACAGTGGGATAAACATCCCACCTTGATGTGGTAAGAGCTTGATCTCATTATCCTAAACAGTGCAAACTGTAAACAGTACAGCCAACAGTGAACAGTGATCTAATTAACAGTAAACTAATCAACAGCTAGAAACTAACATGTACCAGTGATCTAAGTAACAGTAAGCTAATCAACAGTCAAGCACTCAGACAAGCCAGGGAACCCACCCCAGACAAGAACAGCACCTCCAACCGTATATACACAAAGTACATTACACATGCTGTCTTTCAGGCGTTTGCCTTTACTTGTACGATCTGTCCATCGTAAGACAAAACTCATAGAATATTTCAACAGTGTGAAAAAGAGGAATTCATCTATCTTCATAAATTTCTTGAGGGAGATTGTTGATAAATATTTCTGTCCCAAGTGGAGAAGGTTCTCCAACCCAGTCCCATATTTCCTCTGACTATTAACCCGTATAAGTTTAATATTACACCTTTCCATCCACTCCAGAATGGAAGCTGTATTATTTTTACTCCAATTAATCCAAGCCTCTCTCGCAGCGTTCATCATGTAGTTGTCCATCATTAGAGAATTCTCTCTCCATGGGCCATAGCCAGTGGGTAGCCCCTAGTCCCTTCCAAAAGTCCCTGCCCTGTTTGGGTCTGTCACACTTGCATACTGCGTATTCTGAGCATCATTGCATACTAAGCATCACTGAGTATTGTGAAGGTGGATATAGAACTCTTCGAGAGTACTGTGGTGGTCAAGGAGAGGAGCAAAGTTGCTGGTGGATTTAAGAAGGCAACATAG